AAAAAAAAAAAAAAAAAATGTAAGAAAAAAAATGAGCAAAGCATTCCTGTACCAAAAAACACGAAATTAAAGTACTCTTCCAGGGTTCATGAACAATCTTGAGTAACACGCCTTCATTTATAATGAAAAAATGTAATAAGTTGTTGAAGATGTGATCACTGATTGAATTCAGACAGTAGGGTTAATGAACAATCTTGAGTAAATAGCCTTCATTAAGAAATGGTACATAATATTTTGCCCCCTTTGATTTTGCATCATATTTAACAAGGAAATACAGAAAGATAATGTATCATATAGTTCAACAAGAAAATTGAGCACATTTGCATCTTCTTGCAGTCATTTTAACCAATGCATGCATGCATAAAGTAAACGAGAAAATGGGACATGTTAAGTGACGAGAAAACATCAAAGAAATGTTTCAGTAATACCAATAAAAATAAAATAGAAATAAAGGCTAACCGTAGAGATTGTCAAGGCAATGCTCCATTGATTATTCAAGACGTCAAGGCAAATACTACCATTGCTTACGGTGAGTAACTTTAGTTCTAAACGCTACCTGAAAAGCCGAAAAAATGGCAGACATGTTCATTCTAAGTATTTCACGAGACTTTATTTTGGAACACACAAGTCTAATGCAACTGCAAAATCTCTAGCCATGTGCATAATGCTTTTAGTAGTATTTCTCAACAAATTTTAGAACATGGAGAAGGAAGAAAATACCAAGTAAGACTACACTGCTAAGTGCAAATATAATTAAAATCTCCAAGTGAAAGTACACAACTGCAAAATCTCTGATAGATTATATTCTTTTCACGGCAAAGATTAAGAACCTGTGCCATAGTTAGCAGGGTTCGAACATGCAGAGCAACAACTAAAGAACATGTCATATACTTATAGTACTCCGACAATTCAACAAAGAAAATCAGATCAACCAATGCTATAATAACAAGACATCACAATTAGAGGTCACCCAACACCTCTGAAAAGGCAACACGGTAAGCTATAATGCAGCCATAATAACAACAATAAAGCATTATCTTACAGAACATAAACATAAACATAAATCACTTATTCAACAAAAGTGGATCAGGAAAGTAAAACATGAAAAACAACATAATAAGGTGAGATCATGAGGTGGATAGTTGAAGCAGATACCAGATTTCTAATCACAATGCAATACAATAAGTTAATTAAAAGCTATTCACAATCATTTACAAGCAACATCTTGAGAGACAAATCACTTACAAGCAACATCTTGAGATACAAATCCGAATCAGTTTCTGGTTCGAGAAATGGGAGAATGCCTAAGGCCGATGAGTTGAGGTGCACCCCTCTTACAAAACCACCGCAACTCGCTACAACTTTGAAGTTTGTACTGTCAAGCCGGCACATAAGTACAACGGAGCAAAAACAGAATGTGAGCTTGTGATCATTTCACTACATATCTAACAATAAACTTATATTTCAAAATTTATAATGGTTTAGAATTGGAGATTTTGAAAGTCGAAAAAGTTTGGGCCTTTCTGCTACTTCATACAACGTCCCAGTAACATTTCCAAATAAACAATTATAAGCCAAAAAGGGGAGGGCCTTAACAAGATTTGGAAGTACTTGATCTTAGTTTTGAAGCTATTCTACTCACCCTCTTTGTTCTTCCGATCTTTTATACTCAGGAACATTTTCGATTCCTTTATACCCTACGCCTGTAATATAGCCGCTCAGTTTCAACAATGTAAGTTCAACAATATCGTTATCCATCTCCACCTGCAAGAAAATTTTTTATTTAAAAAAAAAAAAAAAGATTATGTGATCATACATTGTGGTTTCTCACATTTCACAACCATGCAATCAACTTAATTAAGTTAGTAATATTCGTTATTTTGTTATTTTCTTTTTGTTGAAAAACTATGCAAAAATAAATAAATATATAGTAACAACTAACATGGACAATAAACTAATATGAACATGGAAATCAGAAAAATTTGTGATATGTTTTCATTAAGGGATTAATTGTGAAATAGTGCCCTCCCAATATAAAGCAAATACTGTAGGAGATTGCTTCCCAATAGCTAGAATACAAGCCTAGGATGCAGTACAGAGGGAATATGTTAGGCCAAATAACTAATTTCAAAACTATACTTTATGTTACGCGAAATAATTAATTACGCCATTTAAAACCACTTGTTAAGCAATTCAAACCTTTAGGGGAATATAGGTGATTCAGATAAGATTATGGAATTATCTCTACAATTAGGATATATAACACTGGTAGTTTCTGCAATGACCACTCATAAAAATTATTTTCTCTCACCTAGTTGTAGTTTACATGAGGCTCCTCCTAACTTGGAGCTGATGGGGTGATGAATTTTGGGCATTCCTAAGAAAGAGCTCATGATACAACACAAGTTCCTCATCATCGTACCTGTGCATCCTCATCATTTCCTTATCGTATTTTTCCGTACTTGAGAATTCAGTCTTCTCAACGAGCTGAACCTTAAGACACATTAATAAAAATTGCAACAAAGCATACATGTGCTAATTCTTCTTCAGTATCTGCTCATACTGAGAGGATTTCTGGTGGTACTGTTTACTCCTCTTGAAAATTTCAAATATAACTCAATGGGACGTGCCACAATTGTAACGCTAAAGTAAATTTTCTAACCAAAAAGAAATCCACAAGTGATTATATCAGGATACACTTGATAATCGTAGAAGAAAATATGAAGCAAGTATCAACAATCTATGAAAACCAACATTGTACAGTGTGCCAACCTTGGACGAACAAGATTCAATCGAACACAACGAAATAGATAAACTAAGTCCGATCTACAGATCCATGGGGTACAAAACTTCTACAACCCAAACACAGACACACACAAATAAAAATAAAAGAATGCCCAAATAATGTTTTTTCCTCCGTGAACAAACCATTACAAGACACACAACAATCATAATTCAAAATATACTAAAGACTGAGGAAAAAAATCTTACAAATTGCCTTTGTATAAGCCAAGAAGACCGAAGCATGGATATCTCCAGCCTTAGCGGCGTCCGGAGTCGTCCGCCCCTCTAATGTCACCCTCATCAATGACGCCTGCATCGAGCCGCCTGTTGTCTGCCTCACGAACGACTCGAACAAGTTCTCAATCGGCCGTGCCTTCTACCCCGCCCGGACCCCTTCAAACCCTCGGCCGACTCCACCAAAGTGACGGTGCCATTTTCGACCTAGATCGTCTTCTCGATTCTTCCCGACATTGCCACCATCCAGGGCTTCGATTTTGCCTTGGGAAAATAGAAATAGAGTGGTAGGTATGGTGATTAGGGTTTTGGAAATGTGGAAATGAGGAATGATTTTAGTTCAGATAACTCCCTTCTATGAAACTAAAACGACGTGGTTTTAAAATCTCTGGTGAAAATTTGACACGTCGTTTTTAATACAAGCCTCCATCTTCTTCTTCTAACAATTTTTTTTCTTTTTAGTTGTTTAGTTATTTTATGAAATTTTATTATTGAATTTTGTTTGAGGATTTTCTATATATATGTTTTTCATCGTTCAATATTTTTATTCAATATATATACTATTTTTTATTTTTATAACTTATATTTTTAAAAAGTAATACCGTTTAGCAATGCTTTTTATATTTCCTTGATTTACCAAAATAATATTATATTTATTTTAATAAATGACTTGTTACTAAATAATTAAATAATATTACATGAAGTGTGATTAAAATGATACATACTTTGTGCTACATTAAAAAAACTACTAAAAGTGTTACCTACGAAGTAATACCTTTCAAAAAATGTTACATACAAGTGTTACGTATTCATATAATGCTACAAAATTGTTACCTAAATACTGTATGATATAATATGATGCAAATACATGTTACATAAAAGCTTTTTTCCAAAATGTGTTACAACTTAGTGTTACTTAATGACACTTTTTTTGTAGTGTATATATGAGTAATGCTATGTGAACAACCGTGTTGACAACTTGGTTGACAACTTGAGATGTAC